TTTCTTTCTTTCTTTCTTTCTTTCTTTCTTTCTTTCTTTCTTTCTTTTATAAAATGACTTTCCTGGGATTAGTTTTAAGACTGTAGGAACATGTGAGCCACTGATAGTTTTGAAGTATGCAAGTCTTCTTCATGAAGCCAGTAAAGACAACACAATATTTGATGTCATATGTTTTATTAAACTAGGGGATGGGATAAAGCAAGGCAAGAAATTAGAAAAAAAAAAGTATTCTGATGGGGGTGTTCTTCTGACAGAGAAAGTGACAGTAATATTGATTGGATTTCTGTTTTATGGGTAACCTCCAATTTGCAGCTTAGCGTATGATGCAGACCCATCAAATTTTGATTCAGCCAATCAATCAGTATCAAACAAGCATGAGATATTGTGCTATGAGAACCACACCAATTTCTAACACAAAGGTTGTAGAGGGTGATGAAATGCCTGTGGAAGGGTTTAAAAATTTGCAGGATGATGCTGTTAAGGTTTGTTTATTTATTTATTAAATTTATATGCTGCCAATCTCACTGTCAAGCCACGCAGGGATTAGATGGAGTGCTACAGTGAATGGACTGCTATGAGGGTATGTTGTATTGTATATGAAAACATGTCATGGTAAATGTTAAATAGATGCAAGAGGAATTGGAATTAAAATTGCTCAAAGAGATCTCAGTCATCTTAGATATATGCTGATGTCTGGAAGTTAGGAATTCCTTCTTGAACACAATTAATATCTGGTTCCTGCTAAGTATTGAAGATCGTTTCAAGGGGCAATGAAATTTATTTTCTTGGACACAAGAATCCAGAGATTCTGACTGTAGCCATAACTGTAAAGATGTGTCTGCTCCCTTGGGAAAGACCATGGCAAATATTAACATGGAAACCATTATACTCACAAACACCAACAACAATAATAAGACTGTCTTTTCAATAAATTTGCATGACTGTGAATCGTGTGGACTGTGGACAGTCAGACGGCTGAACAAAGTAAAATCAAAGCTATTGGTGGAGAAAATTGTTGAGAGTTCATTGTCTGAACTTCAAGAAATATATGTCTTTGAGTGCCAGATGCGGTTAAACCACTGCTCACCGGATGCACACAAATAATGAAGTTAAACATGTAAGACACATAACACAAAGGGGAATGTCTTTGAGGAAGATATTAAAGCTTTGAACAATCAAAAGACAATGAAGAAGAAAGATCAACAGAAGACAAGGAGGCCAGATCCCCTGACTGATGACCCAAGAAGGACCTTATATGAAAAAGGTGATCCACAAATGAAGTTCATTGTCAAAACTGCCACCATATGCGCTTGAGCTTTGCATTCTCTAACTGTCAGTCTGCCATGAACTATGGGGGTGGGGAGTGGGACGAGAGGGGGGAACTACTCACCATACCTTCTCGACATCACTGCTTGGATATTGACCTTCCAATGCACCTGCCTAGTAGCAGAAGGTTTGTTTCTTGGTTGGGTAGCAGATCCAACTGTTCCTGGAATCCATTTGTGTAATTCTGCCTAAACTATCAATTGTAATGAAAGGCCAGGTTTGTCAGTTCTGATGTGGGTGTATGGAATTGATGCTTGATGGAATTGGCATGATCTATTCTGGTGCTAAATTTCAGCATTTTCCCTCCCCCTAAAGAAGGACCGAAGAGATTTCCAGGACACATACCTAGTGTGATGATGATAATTTGCAGGTTTTTAGCAGCCAAATCCTTCAGGTCCTGAAAGAAAGAAAACCTGCAAATTTAGTGCAGTGAGAAAATTGTAAAATTCCCCATTTTGTTGTTATTATTTTGTAATTTACTCTCAACTGGTTCAATACATCAATTATATAAGAAAGTCAACAATGTTCATGTAAAATTATTGTCATATTTGTTTTTAAAATGTAAAACACTCTGGGACCACACTGTTCACACAATGAGTTGTTTGTAACAATTAAAAATAGTAAAAAATGCATTAAAAAAGTCTTGGAATATGAAATATCCAGTTAAGTAATCACTTTGTTGAAGGATTAGAAATGGTTGAAACGAGTAGCTGGTTTCAACCATTTCTAATCCTTCGACAAAGTGATTACTTAACTGAATACTTCATATTCCAAGACTTTTTTAAATACATTTTTTATTATTTTTAATTGTTACAAACAACTCATTGTGTGAACAGTATGGTCCCAGAGTGTTTTACATTTTAAAAACAAATATGACAATAATTTTACATGAATACTGTTGACTTTCTTATATAATTTTGTATTAATACATTTTATCAATCTTAATTTTAATCCTTCAATATTCCCATATACTATTTTGTGTCAATCTCTACCTTCTTAAAATTCCTTCTTTTTTGACTTCCGGTTTGTCGGCTTCGCGAGCGGCAGGGATTTGCGACTCTGCGCGATCCTTGCCGCGCTAGCCGTTTTTGGTGCTCCGATCCGGACGGGTTTGGAGCTAGGCTACCCTGCAGGGGTAGCTGAAGATAGGGGGGATCCGGAGAGGGGTTTGGGGGTGTTGTAGACCCCCTCCCCGGCCGGCAGAACCCCCTTTTCCCAAGACGGTGCAGCTGCGGTCTGTAATGGCCGCCACAAAGAAGCTGGCAGCCGGGTAAGAATGCGCAGGAGGAAGAGGAGAAAGCCTTTGAGAGTGAAAGTTTTCTTGGTTGATCCAGGACTCTAAGATACATTTAATATAATTCCTGGAAATTATGGCTTTTTGGATGATTCTTTCCACAAGAGAAAATAAGCGGCAATTTTGAGGTGCTGAAAGGAAAGTTTATTCTCCCTCCCGACGGAATTAATAAGTGGATATTGAGAAACCTGTTTTTTTTTCAGGTAAAACTAGCTTTTTGTGATAAGTCAGAAGGGAGAGGACAAAAAATATATTCATCTGGGGACTTCCGGTTTGTCGGCTTCGCGAGCGGCAGGGATTCGTGAAGCTGTGCGATCCCTGCTGCGCTAGCCGCTTTTGGGGCTCCGATCCGGACGGGTACGGAGCTAAACTGCCCTGCAGGGGCAGCTGAAGGTAGGGGGGATCCGGAGAGGGGTTTGGGGGTGTTGCAGACCCCCTCCCCGGCCGGCAGAATCCCCTTTTCCCAAGACGGTGCAGCGGCGGTCCGTAATGGCCGCCACAAAGAAGCTGGCAGCCGGGTAAGAATGCGCAGGAGGAAGTGGAGAAAGTTTTTGAAAGGAAAAAGTTTTTCTTGGTTCCTAGGACTCTAAGACATATTTAACAAAATTCCTGAAAAGTATGACTTTCTGAATGATACCTTCTAGAAGAGGAAAAAAGCGGCAGTTTGGTGGTGCTGAAAGGAAAGCTTACCCTCCTTTCCTACGGAATAAATAAGTGGATATTAAGAAACCTATTTTTTTTAGGTGAAAACTGGCTTTAAGCGATGAGTGGGAAGAGAGAGGACTAAAAAAAAAATATTTGTATGCTAAGTCTTTGTTGGAGGAGATGCCTTAAGGATTTGAAGACTAAAATATATTGCAATAAGATTTTAAGAAACAGATTTGGACTTTCTTTTTCTCTGATTGATACTACCCCAGGAGGAGAAAGTGAGAACTCTGCCTTGGTTTGGACTGATTGATAACTTTGGGACTGTTTTATTTTCTCTTTGGAATATTCTGGTTGTTGTAAGAAGAAAGAAGGGGAAAAGAAAAGAAAAGATTTATAATGGCTCTCTCTATTGAGGAACTGAGAAAAGATTATGAACAAGCAAAAAAAATGGTAAAGCTGGTTTGAAAGAAGCCTTCCTTTTTTTAGAAATGGCGCTTATTAACTATCAACAAACATTACAACAGATGAAGACAGCAGAAGAAGAAGAAGGAGAGGAAGCCATTTTTAATAAATTTCAGAACTTGACCAAGAAAGAAGGAAGAGGGAAAGGAAGAGAAATAAAAGACTTAAGATTTAAAAAAACACTTAAGAAAGGGAAAAATAAGGTGCAAAATCAATATAATGATAGTAAACAAAAGGGAAAAGGAACACGACAGAGAAGGGAAGCCAGTAAGGCAGAGGCTAGAAGAAGGGGGGGTAGAAAGGTTTGTTGGGAGAAGAAAGAAAGGGAAAAGGTAGAGAAAAGCTACAAAGTTTTGAAATTAAATGGGAAAAAAGGAATCTTTTTTAGGGATAAAGGATAAAGTATAATTTCTTCAAAAAGATTTTGCAAGGTACATAAGATGATATTGTAGTATTGTATCAGAAATAGAAAACTTAAATGGTTTAAGAGTTGATAAGAGATTAAAATGTTGAAATGTTTAATAATGATTGGTTTTAAAATTTAATAATATGAGGGGAGGTTTAGAATATTGAGTTTTAATTAAAGAGTTTAATAAGATTATGGTATTGATGTTATTATAAAATTTCTATTATAGTATTTGTTTTTAATATTTAGATCTATTGTTTAACTATGTATTTAATTATTCTGGATGTACTATTTAGATAGAATGTACCAAGCAAAATCGGATTGGGTATTGGGCGTTATTTTAAAGGTTAATTTGATTAATTTAGGGGGGAGATAGAAAGGCATCATACTCTGATTAGTGATTTCAGGAGAAACTTCTTCTTTTTTTTTATAAGGAACGAGACAAAGGGACAATAAAGAATGGACAAAAGATACAAATATAATGACTCAAATTAAGATGGATTAAATAAGATAGAATTAAGAAGAGTGAAATGTGTGGAGAAGTTTATATAGAAGATATAGAATGGTAAATAAAATAGGTAATGATATGTAAGATGAGCATGAATATAATTGAAGTCCATGAAGAGAGAGATACCTGGGTCCAAGTTACTTTCCAAAAAGATTTTTTTTTATGTTTTGTGTGTTGTGTGTATATGTGTTTTTTTTTGTTTTTTTTTGGAGAATTAATAAAACCTTGCAAAAATATAGAATGAGAAAAATGGTAACTAAGTCAGAAAGAAATAGATGAAATAATAATAATGAAATTGAATAAGAGCAAAGAGAAGTAAAGAGAAATTGGATAAGAGGTTTTTATATGTTTATATGGAAATGATTTAAAACAGAATTATAGTTTATCTGACTTGTTAAATTTATAATGGAAAAAGGTTTAAACATGTAATGGATAATGATGATTTGTGTGTTTTGAAAATTAATAAAACTTGTTTTAAAAAAATATATATATTCATCTGGTCTGATTTTGTTGGAGGAGATGCCTTAAGGATTTGAAGACAGAAATATAATTCCAATAAGGCTTTAAAATACAGATTTGGATTTTCTTTTTTCTTTTGTCTGATACTACCCCTGGAAGAGAAAGGGAGAACTTTGTCTTGGCTTGGATTGATTGAGGATTTTGGGATTGTTCTATTTTTTTTTATTTTTATTTTAAATATCTTGGTTGGTGTAAGAAGAAAGAGGGAAAAAAGAAAAGAAAAGAAAAGATCTATAATGGCTTTTTCTTTTGAGGAACTGAGGGAAGAATATGAGCAAACAAAAAGAGACGGTAAAGATGGTATGGAAAAAGCCTTCCTTTTTTTAGAAATGGCGCTGGTTAACTATCAACAAACAATACAACAGATGGAGGCAGAAGAATAACAAGAAGAAGAAGACGAAGAAGCCATCTTTAATGAATTTCAAAATTTAACTAAGAAAGAAGGAAGGAAGGAAGCGAGGAAAATGAAGGATTTAAGATTTAAAAAAACATTCAAGAAAGAGAAAAATAAGATGCAAAATAAATATAATGATAGTAAACAAAAGAAAAAGGGAACACAACAGAGAAGGGATGCCAGCAAGGCAGAGGCTAGAAGAAGGGGGGGTAGGAAGATTTGGTGGGGGAAGAAAGAAAGGGGAAAGGTGGAGAAAAGCCACAAAGTTTTGAAATTAGATGGGAAAAGAGGAATTTTTTTTAGGGACAAAGGGTAAAGTACAATTTCTTTAAAAAAGATTTTGCAAGGTACATAAGATGGTATTGTAACATTTGTATTAGAAATAGAAAATTAGAATGGCTTAAGAGTTAATAAGAAATTAAAATGTTGAAATGTTTAATAATGATTGATTTTAAAATTTAATAAAATATTAAAGGGAATGTTTAGAATATTGAGTTTTAATTAAAGAGTTTAATATGACTATGGTATTGATGCTATTATAAAACTATTATAGTAGCATTTGTTTTTTGAAAAAGCAATGGGAATGCTATAAGATTTAATATTTAGATTTATTATTTAACTATGTATTTAATCATTTTGGATTTATTACTCTGTTTTTATTATTATTAAAAAAAAATTAGTAGATAGAATGTACCAAGCAGAATCAGATTGGGTATTAGGTGTTATTTTAAATGTTAATCTAATTAATTTAGGGGGAGGATAGAAAGGCATCATACTCTGATTAGTGATTTCAGGAGAAATTCTTTTTTTTTATTATTATAAGGAATGAGATAGAGGGATAATAAAGAATGGGCAAAAGATACAAATATAATGATTTAAATTAAGATGGATTAAATAAGATAGAATTAAGAAGAGTGAAATGTGTGGAGAAGTTTATATAGAAGATATAGAATGGTAAATAAAATAGGTAATGATATGTAAGATGAGCATGAATATAATTGAAGCCCATGTAAAGAGAGGTACCTGGAGCCAAGTTACTTTCCTAAAAGATTTTTTATATGTTTGTTTGTTGTGTGTTTATGTTTTTGGGAGAATTAATAAAACCTTGTAGAAATACAGAATGAGAATAATGGTAACCAAGTCAGAAAGAAATAGATGAAATAATAATAGTGAAATTGAATAAGAGTAAAGAGAAGTAAAGAGAAATTGGATAAGAGGTATTTTTATGCTCATATGGAAATGGCTTAAAATAGAATTATATTGTATAAAATAAGGTTTTATCTGACTTGTAAAACTTATAATGGAAAAAGGTTCAAATATGTAATGGTTGATGATGATTTGTTTGTCTTTGAAATTAATAAAATTTGTTTAAAAAAAAATCCCTTCTTTTGTTATAAATTCTGTACTACTCGTCATATCTGCAATATTTAACTTATAAATATACAACCTGAGTAAGGATCTACTAACCAATTGATTGGAGAAATTAAGCTCACTGCTATTTAAACATATTTTAAAAGTGACATTTTAAATATAACCAGTCTTCATTTAACAAACTCTTGTGTTTCTTCATCATGCCTAACTCAACCATGCCAGCATTATTACCACCTAGGAGACAAACAAATGTCCATGAAAGAAAGAAAAAATCTTTGTTCTTCTCATCTAGGACTGAAGGCACCCCAGGTCTCACCTGAGTATGGAGTCCAGCCGGGTCCCGGCAAGTGGCAAAGATCCATTTTGGGGGGTTGCTCTTGCCTATCAGATGCCGGATCAGCTGCAAGCCAAGTCCACGATTGGAGCCGGTCACCAGAACACTACGTGGATTCAGCTGTTCCATTTCTCTTGACACCCAAGGCCAAAAAATAAACTTTTGCGCACTTCCTTCGATCTTGTTGCAATTCAGCTTGTTCCCAGTCCATCCAGCCAATTATGCAAGGTGCTTGGCTCCTATTGGGAAGGAAATATAACTTCTGAAGAAAATATAAAAGGAGGGATTTGGCAAACACCTACAATATTTAATTGATTCTTGTTGCAGGGGTTTTGCTCTCTGATTAGCTGCTTCTCCTCTGTTGTTTTCTATGTAAATGTTATTTTATTCAAAGAATACCTCCTCTGTCTTCAAACAACTTAGCAGATCCAGCCAGCCCAAGACAGGTCTAGCCTGAAAATCTTAATAGTTACGCTTTACGGATTCAGATGGTGTATTATTTATAGAGCCTCTTTAGATGGCAACTGGATCTAACTGGTGGTGGTGTCTAACTGCTGCATTAAGGTACAGATGAGCCTGGGAACAAAGAAGGAATCAATTCTATTGCTTTCATTAATATGAAATTTTTACAATTACCTTCCTACCATAACTGGTTAACGTTAATTTTGAAAAGTTTAATTCAATATTCACTGGCTCCAACTTAAGAAAATTTAATACGTTAGTTGGTTCCCTTCCATTGTTTCATTCCTTCCAAACTGCTAAGAGGCAGTTGGTTGATGTCTCTTCAGATTCCAGATCATTTAGAGGAAAGTGTTTGGGCGTGTTGGAGTACCTCTAGGTGTACTACCAAGCATGAGGTTTGGGGGAGTCAGGAGATTTCCCAACAGAACAGCTTTCTCCAAATAAGGATTAGAACATTCGTTGAATAGATCTAGCGAAGTTTTGAATAGATATCTTCCACTTTCTGGTAATCAACATGGAATTGCAACCAACAGATTGCGAGGAAGTGAAATAACTTGCAAGAGATTGAGAGACGTAGAAGCACATTCCTACCAGTATGACATGAATATTCTGCTTTATTGGCCTTAATGTTCAGCTTATTTCTCAGCTACAACAGCCACCTTTGAACTGGCTGGAATCTCAAAGCCCTCAGACCAAGAATTTACTTATCTTCTCCACCCATCTCTCCTTCCCAGTCTGTTCTGAATATGCTCACTTAATGCCAGCCAATGTATTCTGCCAAACATGAGACTTTATATATTGTGTTGCATCCTAGATGGGTGCAGACTGACGTGGGAAGGTAAGAAAACTGGAGAAAAGAAAAACCCCAAATTTTATACGGCAGGAAAACTAATGGGAAACATTAGATTCGGAATGGAACATTTTGGAAAACTAGAGTGTGACCTAGAATTCTAGAACTCAGGTTGAAACAGGAGGAGTGTGTTTGGAGGACACACTCAACCACAAAATAGTCAGGTGATTCTGTAAACTCCAAGAGGTTCTTTTAATATGCAGTGGGAAATTCCCTAAAATTGGACCAATTGGGTCAATAGTGGTGACAATGTAAGCATTGTTTTGGTGGTCATCTCAGATGTTAATGAACAGGATTTTCTTTTCTGAAACCAAGTTGATGTTACCTTAGATTTTCAATTTGTGGTTAGAGTTTTAATTCTAGATACAACACTATGTTTGTATTAGTTTTGAATCTGCCGCACATTTAATAGATGTTTAATGTAGCCTAAACAATTCGCTGTATAAACATTGTTCTTCTACACAATAATCACCTAGTACTCTTAATAGGCAGTTTTATCTAATTGATTCTTTTTTCTTCTCCAAAAGCATTTCAGCTTAAGAGCAGCTATGACTTAATGAAAACCTGTGATGACCCAAAGGGGCATGGCACAAAGGAACACAGTCACATAAATAAGAAGTGTCCTTTTAGTACCTCCAACTTTGCCCCCAATGTCCAGGTTACCTTCGGCTGGAGAAAAAACTCTCCCAAGAACAGTGTTTAAGTGGAGGAAATTCAGTCCGAAAACAAAGTACATACAAGCTGTAAATAAAAATCCAACAAACCATGCTGCGGTAATTAACTTGACAGGGCAGGAGAAGGAATTGCAGACTTGAAAGGCCAGCAAAACACACACAATTGGGAAGATGCCAGGAACCCTGATAAGCCTCGACAATACCAGATAATTCACAATTTGCTCTCAATAGTTTGCTGTGCGCAATTTCCTTTTTTAAACACCTTGTTCCCGGCTGCAGCTAATGAAGGGAATCAGGGCCCTTTCCTCCCCTGTAAGCCACACAACTCATGTTGCTCCCTTCTCCATTCCTCTCTGCATGCTCTAGGATGAAGAGGGGGTGGCCCTGAGTCTTCCTCCGAATTCCTTCTCCCTTGCTCTACCTCTCCCCTGCTCTGCCCAGCCAGACTTTGCCCTTCTCCAGTGTCTTCCACAGTCAACGGAGCCACACTCCCACTCCCTGTAAGCTGCTTGGCCTCCCGTTCTGAATCAGATTCCAAGGCATGACAAAAACCTTTTGTATCTAATATTTTTAATTGTGCTATGTACACAAGGACAATAACTAAATAACAGATATTTACTGTTTTACATACTTTACCTATGTAATCACACATGCATGTGTATTTGTTACTCATTTATATTTATGCAGTTACTATGAGATACTATGAAGTTGCACAGAGAAACTTTCCCCCCCTCTTTCATAAAGAAAAGTATCAGACACAGTAAAGAACAACAAGATCAGTGGCTTCTGGGCTTTCATAAACTCCTGATGTAAGCTTCTGCAATACTCACAATGTCAGGCATGCCCTTCCAAATCTGAATACATACTTGGTTTGAGAACTATGTGTCTATGCCTGCTCTTAATGCATAGATAAGATCGAGTTTATCTTCTATCCTCCAAAGTAAATTAATTCCATTAATTCAAATAATTGAATTAAATATGAGCCAACAGTGTGTAGCAGTGGCCAAAACAGCCAATGCAGCCCTAAGTTACATTAACAGAGGGATACAATCGAGATCAAGTGAGGTACTAATACCACTCTATATAAAGCCTTAGTAAGACCACACCTAGAATACGGCACCCAGTTTTGGTCACCACCCTATAAAAAAAGATGCTGAGACTCTAGAAAGAGTGCAAAGAGCAAGCAGGATGATTAGGGGACTCGAGGCTGAAACGTACGATGAACGGTTGCAGGAACTGGGCATGGCTAGTCTAGTGAAGAGAAGGACCAGAGGAGACATGATAGCAGTCTTCCAATATTTGATATTTGAGGGGCTGACACAGAGAGGAGGGCTTTTTCCAAAGTACCTGAAGGCCAGACAAGGAATAATGGATGGAAACTGATTAAGGAGAGATTCAACCTAGAATTAAGGAGAAATTTTCTGACAGTGAGAACAATCAAACAAAGGAACAGTGGTGGGATTCAAATTTTTTTACTACTGGTTCTGTGATTCCGGCAATTTTCAGAATTGGTTCCAGCAGTATTTTTTTTGCTGGCTTTTGTAGAATTCCTGCCTTAAGGGATGTTTTTTGAAACATCATGAAACAAAACAATAATGATGTTCTTGGATAATTTTCTCTTCCAAAGGTCGTTGTAACCTTTACTAAGGGAAAGTTACAGCTCACTATGCAACTTTCAAAATTCACCTTGCAGCCAAAAAAAAAAAAAAAAGCTGTTGTGATTTTGATGCAACCTGAAATATTATTGCTCATTGGAAATAATTTGGGCAGCCTGAAGCTACACTTTCAACATCTAAAACTACACTTTAACTAAATAGGTAAAGAAAGAACTAAACAATGTGTACATTTTGTTGATCTTCCATACTTGGAGCTTCTAGAAGAGATGAAAAGAGGTGAATCACTCTGCGTGCACTTACGGCAGCTTGCTTCATCGTTCAAGAAGACAACACTTTATTGTTTCCTTTGATTTATGCGATGGATTGAGAAAATGAAGAAAAGTATTGGATTCCTCGGAACTCAGTTGCTCATAGGTTATCAGTCTGAATCTTTCATGGCAACCCCCCATTGAAACTATCGTAGAGCAGCGGGCCCCAACTTTTTGGGGGCACCAGGGACCGGTGCCATGGAGAGAGTTTTTTTCCCATGGACCAGAAGGGGTGTGGTTTCACATCAATGGTGGGATTCAATTTTTTTTACTCCCAGTTCTGTGGGCGTGGCTTGGTGGGCAAAATGTGGCTTGGTAGGCGTGGCTTGGTGGGTGTGGCAGGGGAAGGATACTGCAAAATATCCATTCCCTCCCCACCCCACTAGCCTGCTTTCCAGCTCTGTTCTCCTGTGCAGGGCAACCAAAGAAGACCCAGACGATCAGCTGGGACTCAATGGGAGGCAGAGACTAGATGGGGGCGGGGCCAGTCAGAGGTGGTACTTGCCGGTTCTCCGAACTACTCAAAATTTCTGCTACTGGTTCTCCAGAACTGGTCGGAACCTGCTGAATACCACCTGTTTCGCATGCTGCCTGCATCCCATGGATGGGGTGTCACTTGTTGGCGTGGCCCTGTTTCTGTCATGCTGCGGCCCAGTGCCATTCCACGGACCGGGAGTTAGGAACCCCTGTTGAAGAGTATCCCAAACTTTAAGGCCCCCACTTGCTGCTTTTTCCTTTGGCTCCAAATGAATTGACCTATCATTAACAAAAAAAGACAGTTTTGACCAATTCTCTTTTATTTCATTCCACATAACCTTATTAAAAAAAAAAAAAAAAAAGAACGTATTGGAAGTGTAAAATGTATGCACAAGCTCCATTTGCATGAGTGGTGTGCGCGTGTGCCTGCTGCTCACACGAATGGAGCTGCACCCACACGCAATCTGGGCCACCGCTCATGCGAGCCATCGCCCCTTCCTGCCCCCCGCCCCGCTGGCCAGTTGGGGAACTCTGCTTTAGATTCCAGAGATCTGGGGAGAAAATTGTCCTAGAACAGTGATGGCGAACCTTTTTGTTGTGGTGTGCCATCCCCCTGCACATGCACGCACAACATCCCCATCCCCTAACCTAGACTGCGCATGCTCATGCCTCCCAGATGATTTTCGGCCCCTTTGAGGATGTTTTCGCCTTCCTGGAGGCTCGAAGGAAGCCTCTGCAGCCTCGGAAGGCCGAAAAATGGGCCTTCTGGAAATACCGGAAGTGCCCATTTTCAGCCTCCGGAGGGCCTCTGGAGCCCGGGAGAGGCCATTTTCACCCTCCTGGAGGCTCTAGGGAAGTCTC